TCCTGTAACTTTTATACCGAAAGTGTTCCAGTTTATTATTTTTTTGTCCTGCTTCTGTTGTGCTATAGTGCAAGAGTGCACCTCCAGATGGTAATAATGCAATGGGGAAAACATTGCAGAACACCTAATAAAATGTAGACAGTATGAGTATAAATCCACCACTAAGGCGCTATTATTGCATCAATGACATGTTGCAAACCCTCCTGCTTGTCTGGATGGAGGCTGGAGTGTTGGTGGCAGGCAGGGGTGAATCTGTGCGGAAATTTGCCTACTGTACAAAAGTACAAATTGCATTCATTGCTCTGCCAACTTCTGCCTCTGGCTACCACCCCACCAGACAACACCCCCTAGACAGCATCTTAAAAAGCAGAGACATCACCTTGCCAACAAAGGTCCGTATAGTTAAAGCTATGGTTTTCCCAGTAGTGATGTATGGAAGTGAGAGCTGAACCATAAAGAAGGCTGACCGCCGAAGAATTGATGCTTTTGAATTATGGTGCTGGAGGAAACTCTTGAGAGTCCCATGGACTGCAAGAAGATCAAACCTATACATTCTGAAGGAAATCAGCCCTGAGTGCTCACTGGAAGGACAGATCCTGAAGCAGAGACTCCAATACTTTGGCCACCTCATGAGAAGAGAAGACTCCCTGGAAAAGACCCTGATGTTGGGAAAGATGGAGGGCACAAGGAGAAGGGGACGACAGAGGACGAGATGGTTGGACAGTGTTCTCGAAGCTACGAACATGAGTCTGATCAAACTACGGGAGGCAGTTGATGATAGGAGTGCCTGGCGTGCTCTGGTCCATGGGGTCACGAAGAGTCGAACACAACTAAACGACTAAACAACAACAACATCCACTGCACATGACCTCCTGAAGTTTGTCCATGTAGGGTCTGTTTTTCAGGTTGATAAGGATTTTCCACCCTACAAGGATTAGTTTAAAATTTAGGCATATGTTACAAACATCTTGATTAAATATTCTAAGAAACAAACAAACAAAATCAGTGGATAAAACGGTGCAGATTTTAAGTAGTCAGTCTACCATCTTGATTCCAAATGGCATCCCATTATTTCCAAACATAGATGAAAACTTGCTCCTTCCTCTCAAGAACATCATGCAAAATCTGCTTACAATATTTTATGAGGTGTCCAGATGTATAGAGGACAGATCAAAATATATCGTAGATTCTAAACAGTAAGGGCCGGTTGAAAAATGTCTGCATGTGTCTTGATTTCTCAACACCAGGATGAGCAGTTAAATGTGTGGAAACACTGTTTACTTTTCTTTGAGGTGATACAAAATTTTATTTGGGATAAGGGCAGAAAAAGCTAAGGAGCAAGCAAAGCCAGAGGGCTTCGTCCTGAAATAGTTTTGTAAACAGAAAGTAGATGAAGAACAATATGACTATACTTTTCTTGAAGCAAACACTGTGGGAGCTTATTTTTTAATAAGCATCAGCGCTTGACCTGAAAGAATTTGTGACTAAATTTGCAAAGGGAAAGGCATGCAAAGTGAGATTTTGATGTGTCTGAAATTGAAATTTTCAAGATACTTAAATCTTTAGCTTCACAATTTACAAGGTTTTTCCAAGTGATTTGTATGCTAAAATGCTTTCTTTTGTATTTGAAAAAGATAATAAACAGTTGTTGCATTACAGTAAGCTCCAAACTTATGTTGGGGCTATGTTCTGGGGATTGCACCTAAAGCCAAAATCGCATATAGTCATAGCATATTGGGTTCAATGGTGGGTGGAATTACCAAAGTCCTTTTTACTGGATGCCTGCCCCCTTTTTAATTTTAATTTTAATTTTTTTGCCAAGCACATAAAGCTGAATGCACACATGCTAAATGCACATAAATTGTGGGCTTACTATACATCTTCTGGGGTCAATTTGAAGAGGGTGTGGGACATGAATGGCAGGAGAGAGGGGGGAGAGGGGGACATCCCACTGCACAAATAGAAATCCTTGCACTGACGAGATGTGGTAGTTGAATGCTGCCCATATGCACTGAAGTGTAAAACTTGCTCTTGGTCTAAAAGGCTTTGAACTGGGGCTGGTGTTATTGCCACGTTATACCTGGGCTTTGCTAACTGCCCTGTCAGACCCTCCAAGTGTCCCTCTTTTCCAGGAACATCCCTGATTTAGAAATGCCGTCCCGATTTCTGATTTGATCCCAGAATATCCCGCTTTTCAGATGTCCCTGTTTTCATTTGAGAAATGTGGGAGGGTATGGAGTTATCCGACCTCTGAGCTGTCTGAAGGCAATCCTATACAAGAAAGGGGTTTTTTAATGTTTTATTATGTTTCTATATATGTTGGAAGCTGCCCAGGGTGGCTAGGACAACCCAGTAAGATGTGTGGGGTATAAGTAGTAAAATTATCATTATGGAATGGGACGTCCCTATTTTCATCAGAGCAATGTTGGGGGGTATGTACTATCTCCCAGTTAGTTTTAGGACTCCATTCTAAGCCTGGACTTTTAAAATGTTATAGCTTAGGACCAGGTACCTGGTTGAATACTCTATCTCTGCCTACCTGTACCCAAAAAATTTCAACAGAAGCCCTATTTTGGCTGCACCTGAGGCGCAGCAGTGGCTATAAGGGAAAGGCCTTTATTGGGGGCAGTACCCCGGGACAGCACGATGTCATTTTGGTGTCAGGCAAAGACCTTTTTTTTAAAAAAAAAAATCTTCCAAGGCCTTTTTCCCCCCACTGCATGTTATTTTTATGCTCCTTGGTGTTTATTTTAATTCCACTGACTTTTAGACTTCTCTTTTTATATAATACAGTGTTCTGATCTTTGTTTCAATTTTAACATTTTTATAAGCCACCCTAGGAACCTGCTGAATGGCAGAGTATAAATAAAGGGGTTAAGTACTTAATTCGTTCCGGGGGTCTGTACTTAACCTGAAACTGTTCTTAACCTGAAGCACCACTTTAGCTAATGGGGCCTCCTGCTGCCGCCGTACTGCCGGAGCACGATTTCTGTTCTCATCCTGAAGCAAAGTTCTTAACCTGAAGCACTATTTCTGGGTTAGCGGAAGCTGTAACCTGAAGCGTATGTAACCCGAGGTACCACTGTAGAATATTATAGCACTTTACATTCTTAGTAATTCTAAAGTGGGGGGTCTTCTTTGCCTGTTGTCCAGAAAATGCTGCGAGGAAGTCACAAAGTCATTAGTAAATCTTTTCTAGAATAAACGGGTGTGTGTGTGTGTGTGTGTGTGTGTGTTGTAATTCCACCAAGTACTATTACCTTGCAAGCACCGTTTTTCCCCGTGATGCTCCTGCAGGGTTTCCACACTAGGAAAAGAACCCTGCAATATCTGTCTTCAAGAAAAGCAAAACAAATTGCAAACCTCATGCTGTATTGCACAATGAAACATAAACCCAGCAATACATTTCTGCAGCTGACACATTCAGACTCACACACCATGGGAGATGGTAAGGTACCCTGCAGAGGAAACATACTAAATGAACTGACAATCAAGGGCCTTTGCAGGATGTCCGGTTTATTTATTGTTTTAACTACAATAGAAAGATATAAGCAAAAATTGATAGGTCTTCTTACTGGACAGCTGTTGCTCCTATGGTAAAGTGGCTTAAAAGCTCACATTCCTCAATTCCATTGGCCCAGGTCTATTTCCTGTGCAGTTGTCATTAAAATAATCCAACATTTCAGACTTTATTAGAATATAATGCAATGCAATTTTTTTATTAGCTAATGGGCTGCCTTTTTGCACTCCTTTGTACTTCTCAATCTCTCAGAGCAAAGGCTATAAAACAGGGAAGTGTGATCCCATCTGGAAGCCATTAAAGATCAATAGAGGCGGAATCTCAAAAAGAGCCTATCAAAACAAATGCGAGCAAAACAATAAGTCAGCTTCTGTTTTCAAATCCCAGTGCACTAAAGCACATCACACTCCCAACGTGACACAGAGTAGCACTGGCATGTTAACACCAGAAATGAGTAATCTAATTTGAAAGGAGGGCAAATATGGTTAAAACCCAGTGCCTCCTTAATTCTTTGGGAACACGGGAAATAATCTACTGCGTGGGATGTGTCCCTAATGGAGGCGCCAGGAAGCGAGGGGGCAGCCTTCTCTATTATGGGAATCCAATAGGAAGGATTTCAAGGCCTTGATCCTTTCCATGTTGTTGTCTGTGTACAATAGGCACACACTTTTGGAAGGGTAAGATTAAATCTTCTCCAAGCAGATTTCAGCAGCAAGATAGCAGGTTCAAGCCATATTCTCATCTCTTCTTCTTTTTTTAAGAATATTTTTTTATTAACCGACCAATCACATCAAATCAAACCAAATTACATAAATTCCATATTACACAGCCGAATTTTAAATTTTTGTTGGGGCTACCCATATTTCAAGTTCTGAAGGGGATCCAATCAACTTCTTGCTTCTTGCTGCTGTTTTAATGTCCACAAATCTAACCTTATGATGTTCACAGTACTATCCAATCCTTTCTTATTGTTTTTCCACATCTCTTGTTGTTATTTTCATATGTTTTTCCTTTCTCTTTGTGACCTCTGATAGTCTCCACAAGCTGGTTAAAACAGTTTGTAATCCTGCGTGGATATTTTTTTTTTTTATCCAGTAGCCATATCCAGACGTTTTCCATATAACATCACTTCCATACATCAAAACAGTCTTAGCGTCATTAATCTTCACCAATCTGCCTCCTTTCTCAAAACCTCTGAGGAGATTCACCAGGAATGCAGTCTGAAAAGAAGTCCATTCCTCCTCCCGGCTATAAATCCTTTGACAAGATGGCGACTCTGAATTAATTGCTGCGCCATTCCAAAAGGTCTTATTGCTTCTCGATCTCCATAAAGCATACTTTTGGTTAAAGTTTATCTCCACACAGATCTTAATCATCCTGCTTGGGTCAGTTAAACCGACGGTTCTAATGAGGAGGGGTTCTTAGTAAATCACATAGAAGGAAAATAACAAAGGTTCCCCCCCCCCAGCCATATTCTCATCTCATCACCATGTTGCGGGATCGACCATGTGAGCTATTTAAGTAGCAAACAAGGAAAGCAGGTGGAAAAGATTATAAGAACCAGCTCAATTGTCCCCACTGCCACCCTGGAGCAGAGATGGGGAACCTGTGGCTGCCCAGATGTTGTTAGAGTCTCCCTTGCCCCACAGGAAGAAGCCATCGCCTTGCGGGAAAGATCCTGATGAGTCACTGTCATTTTGTTATTGTATGTTTAGTCATAAACCACCTTTGGAGGGTTTGTAGCCTGAGAGGCTAGCTAATTCCAGTACTCTTGACTCTGGCTGGCAGCGGTCTTCTAAAGCTGAGACCTGAGGATTAAGATAGAGAGACTTTTCCCATCTCCACTGGATTTTAAGCAGGAGTTCCTAAACAGTGAAACTGGGACCTTCTGCATGAAAAATCGTATTCCACGCTGCCATTAGGTCTCTCTTTTGGAAAATATCATGTGAGAAGAGCCTATATCAGCAGCATAAGTAAACAACCGAAAGACTTTGCAAGCAAAATGCTTTTAAATAAAAATGAAGACAGACACTCTTATATTTTATGAAAGGAACATGTAACATTTCTCCTTAATTTTTAAAACTACACAGAAACCACCACATACCCTCCAAGTGTCCTGATTTTCCAGGGGCAGCCCTGGAATTGTGAAAGCCATTCCAGCTTCTGATTTGATCCCGGAAGGTCCCTATTTCCCCTGCCATTGCTACCACCACCAAGCTTGGAGAGGAGGATGGGGCTGCACTTGTCCCAAGTGAGGGAGCATCCTCTTGCCTCTCCATGGCTTCTGCTGCCGGCCTCCTCCCTTGCTGCAGCTGCTGGAGAGCAGGTAAGGAAGAGAAGAGGCTGCCACTGCCAAGGCCCAGCCTTGCATGATGGCTGGCTCTGTGGGGCAGGCAGAGGGCAGGACCACCCTGGGCAGGAAGAAAGGGGAGCAGAGTACAAGGAGTCTTGATTTTAAAAAAAAATGCTTTGTGCATTCACATCTAATCCTGCCCCTTTATGAGATTTATTTCTTGGTTTGTGTTTTTCTTTTTTGTAAATCTACCAAAGAATGAAATAAAATAAAATCAGGATGAAGGGGTTTTCGCAGGATGGTTGAAGGCGTGTGTGCTGTGCCCTGTTGGTGTAGTGGTGACAGCTCTGTGGGGGGACAAAAAATGGGGGGGGTCATGGAGGGTCAGTTGCAGGGAGTGTGAAATGTCTCTATTTTCCCCCAATCCCTGAAAGGTAAAGGTAGTTCAGGTTTCTAAGTGTCCAGCTGAAAGGAACTACAGGGAAAGTGTTAATGATTTGTAAGTACTTTCCAGGAGATGTGATGTGTACAGTTTAAAAATACTGCCCCTCCATGGGAGAAAATGTATTTCTATTAAGGGACTAGGATTGTGCTATGCTTGTTGGAATTTTTGCTTGTGCACAGGAATTTAGCTCCAGGTCTGTGTCTGTCACTGAAATTGACAACTGCCTATGGCTCTGTACAATTGAAACGTAGATCTTAAATTTCACATCATTATCCAAATAAAATATATCTGCCAAAGGGGACTGGTATTACACAGTTAGAGAACTGCGATACCAGTTCTATGATTAACATATTGAGAGGAATATAAGAATTTCTCACCTATTTTCCAGAGGGAGACTAACTGGGGAGCTGGTGGTAAAGAGACTAATTGAACATGCTCTCTCTCTTAAGAAGGAAGATGCCCAACACTGGGGCTGGCCATTCCACAAAAGCAGACAAGACCGTCCTTCATACATTACCCGTGCTTTCTAGGGGACAATTGAGTGGGGAAGCATAAAATCTTCTTACTTTTCTAAATAAGTAAAAGAGAGAACAAATGTTTCGTAATGTTCACAAGGTTCAAAACCATACCTGCCTTTCACTTTGAGACCAAGAATATTGCGTGGAAGGAGAAGGGGAAATATTTTCCTCCCTGTCATAACTTAAAGCCACCTACTTCAATACTGATAAGCCCTTATTCAGGAGGTGGGAGTGGGTTTCTTTTAACGTTTTAGAAAAGGCTTTCTACTCTGCCCCCGCCCCCCATTGCAGGCAATGGGAGTGAATAAACTACGGCAACTTCAGGGCTAACATAGTTAAGGACTCAGTTGGATGCAGGCCAGGAAAATGAGGGGGTTAGGATCCTGCAGAGCCAAGCTCATGTCTGACACACCCTATTTCTGGCCCTACCCCCACTGGAGTTACTTTCAGCCGTACGGTACATCTGTGCCCATGAAGCTTTCTGTGGGTATGCAAGGCAGCCTCCAGGATAGAAGTGCCAACCTCCTTCCACTGCCCCATGTCCTTGGTTGCACCTTGTCACCAGAAATGCCTGTGGCACAGAGTTGATTCTCTCAGCTCTGTCTGGTTTACCAGCTACAGCCATTCCTAGATGACAGCCTCCTTTTTGGATTCGGAACACAGGCAGTTGCTTTGTACTAAGCCAAAGCACTGGTCCCTCTAGATCACTTCCATCGACACAGACCAGGAGTGGCTCTCCAGGGTCTCAGGAGCAGCTCTGTCTTATTCATACCAGAGCAGTGCACATGCTGTTCCCCTGGGGGTGGGGCTAACCGCCCGTGGCGAGCGGCAAGCATCCTGGGGTTGCAAGCAGTGAGCAGCCCAGGGGGTGCCACCCTCAGTGAGCATCCGAGGGGGGTGGGGTGGCAATGTCACCCCCCTCAGGGATGACACCTGGGGCGGACCACACCCACCGCACCTCCTTCCTCCGCCAGTGATTCATACCAGTACAGACTAAAGACTGAGCCTGGGACATTCTTCATGCAAAGGCATGAAGCAGACTTCTGAGCTTAGTCCTTAATGTACAGTGCTGTAGGGCTGCCTTTGAGGTTGTCTCAGAAACTGCAGCTAATGCAGGAGTGGAATCCCCAGAACTTTCCAACAACAGCAAAATGAAGAGTGACAAAAATGAGAATGCAGAGGCTTTGCTTTTGCAACGATCATTAATCAAGAAAGCCCGCAGTCTGATGCACCTACGCAGGAACAAGCCCCATTGAACCCCATGGGAATGTGTTGTTATTGACATCTGTCCATCTCAAGAGATAATAGAGTGGGCTTCTGGGGGTGAAGCCAAACCATGGTGTTAGCAGCATCAAAGTTACCTCCCCAGGGTGCAAGCCTGAGCAGTATGTATGGAGGACCTGCGCTACCCAGGTAAAGGTAAAGGTAAAGGGCCCCTGAATGGTTAAATCCAGTCAAAAGTGACTATGGGGTTATGGCGCTCATCTTGCTTTCAGGCCAAGGGAGCCAGCATTTGTCCACAGACAGCTTTCCGGGTCATGTGGTCAGAATGACTAAACCGCTACTGGTGCGATGGAACACCGTGATGGAAACCAGAGCACACAGAAACGCCGTTTACCTCTTCACCACAGCGGTACCTATTTATCTACTTGCAATGCCATGCTTTTGAACTGCTAGGTTGGCAGGAGCTGGGACAGAGCAACGGGCGCTCACCCTGTTGCAGGGATTTGAACCATCAACCTTCCAATCAGCAAGCCCAAGAGGCTCAGTGGTTTAGACCACAGCTCCACCTACAACAATACACCCCTCTCGGCCTCACCAAGGTGGTCCAAAGCAGACCAATACAATTGGCACCAGCCTGGCTGCAGGAGTTGCTGGAAGGAGGCATACAAGGCGCCAACCTGCAATTTCTGCTCCTGTTTCTGTTTTCATCGAAATTTTCCAGCATCCTTAGCTGACCTGGCTGGCCCCTCCTCTAGGTTGGGGTCTGAGATGCTGCCTGGAGTGGTGCTGATGACACTCCCTTTGATTCTAGAATGGAATCCTAACCTGTTTGCGAGAGAATCACGGTGCAGCCAACAACTTGCTTGACTTGGGGGCTGGGGGCAAAATAGAAATACGTTGCAGAGTCTGCAGTTGTTCCTTGTCCTTCTGCTTCTTCCGCCCTTCTGGGGTGGGTAGCCGAGTCAGGAGTGAACCTGGATTAGCAAAATTGAGAGGAAACCAAATTACTGTAGTTTGTGTATCCTTCAACAAGTGCCATTACTAGCCATCCCCTTATTCCGTTGGAGGAGCAACAGCACAGCGGAAACAAACAAGGAAGCTTCAAAAGTACTTTCCCCAACCATTGGTAATGCCAGCTGGGACTGATGCAAGTTGGCATCAAATTTTAATCAGTCCCCACTTGCTTCATTGGTTAATTAGCTCAATTAAGCCACCATCTTAATGATAAAGGTTTGTGATATGTGAGGTCAGTATGTAGAGCCTGGGAGTTCTATTTATGCCTCCTTGAGTTCCATGGAAGAAACACCAGATATAAATGTAATTTTAAAATGAGCTTCGTCCTTATGATTTCCATCTTGGGACTGGTGCTATTTAACTTGCTAGCTCTGGGGTGGTCAGTGAGGCAACCAAGCTGCAAAGGAGGCCAAATTATTTGGTCGAGACAAAATCCAAGCACTGTAAGGTGTGAAATCTAGACTTTTATACCCTTGGAAGTGGAATGTTCATTTGACCATCGTATTATTCTTCTAAAAACTCCTCATTCACTTAAAGCAACTGCAAAAATCCCTGAAAAACAGGGTGTCACTCTTCCTTGGGGAGTGGGTTTGGGAGGGGAGGGAGAATCAATTTTTATGGCAGGAAATTTGCCCCTTAAGTTATCACTAAACCTGCTGATAATTAACACCTTCCATATCATTGGATCAGATAAGGAAGGGAGAGAATCTATTATGTTGATTCCACCGTCCATCTGGTAGTTTTTTTCCCTGGAACTGGCTGAAGTAGAGCAGCAGTCATACATAACAGCCTCCGGTAAGTCAGCGCAGCACTCCTGTGGGGTTATCAAGCAGGCCAGCCCTCGAAGGCAGAGCAAAACCTTCCGCCAGGGAACTTCCTGCTAAAGTGCTTGCGCCACATCTATAGGATTATCCCCACAACACCAGCATATCATCTGGCTTTAAACTTCACGCCCCCTGGCAACATATACACTAAAAATTCTATTCCCTTCCATGTGCCTTCTTATCCTTTAGCTCTGTCTTCCAATTGTGCCTCCTAGCAGCCATTGGCTGAGGCTCACCCCTCACCACCCAACACCAAGCTGGATTAGCTGCAAGCCAATAGCTGGGGGTCAGGATTAAGAGGCCAGTGTGTGCTTTAATATAAGCTGCCTATAATTAATGGCATTATTAATAGCTTGACTGAAAAATTCATTAAAAAATCCATTAAAAATAAATACCCTTTTACAAAAGGCATTGCCTTGGGTGAGAAAAACAGGGGGGGAAAGATAAAGCAGAATTGATTGGTGGTTTTCAGTTCAGAGAAAGACAGACCATAGTTCAAGCTGATTAAAATTGAACATTTGAGATTAAGCACTCTTGCCAAAATATTCTCTGTAGTTACTTAATATGAAAATATTATAAGATGTCACATTTAAACATCTTTTATAGAGAGAGGACTTGAGTGTGTGATACGAGTTGCATGTCACTGCTATATAAAGTTCTTCTCTAGCAGAGAATCAGTATAGAAATCTGAAGTTAACTGTATGATCCACTCCACCTCTCAACTGCATGCAGGGCTTTCAAATGCTTCCTCCAGTTTTTTAACCCCTAACAAAATGCCTTGGGAAACGTTTGCACTGAAATTTGAGCAGCTGTGGGCCTTTGGTCCCTCTGTTTAGGACACTTTTCATTCTCTTCACAATCTGGCAAGCTGGTCTCTGTGGTGCACTGCAGCAATGCTCATTTTAGGCACTTTTCATCTCCCCTCTCGCCCCTCAAGCAAACTCCCCTTCCCCGCCAGAATGTATATGCAAAAGGCTGGAAGGATCAAAGGAACCAAGCCACGCCTAGGCCACGCGCCAGCTTTGCATGGACTTTGACTTTTTGCTTAGAGGCCCAGATTGTAATGGCTCTCTCAGGGAATTTAAGGCTTGGAGCGGTAAGCCAAAGCCCTCGTGCTACTAAAGTCTAGAGAAGCTCGCAGAAGGGAGCAGAAGAGCCCAGTAGGTCACATCAAACAGTCAAGAGATTCCCCAAGGCAATGGATTTGGTGCATTCGTTTAAGTTGGCCATTAGTGTCTCCACACTGCAGGTTACCTCAGTTTTGAGTCTTGGTCAGTTTCTGTTCTCTTTGCTTCACACAGATCGGCTGCTGGGTGCTTTTGTTGTATGAGAATATCTTGCACGTTTGAGTGTTGGGCTGTTCTACAATAAATGAAGTTTCAGCTTTGGATTAAGGCACATTTCTGTTAGCAGTGCTTTTTTTCTTTTTTAAAAAAGGTGCTGGTAGAGTTTGAAGAAGAAGAAGAATTTGGATTTGATATCCCACTTTATCACTACCCTAAGGAGTCTCAAAGCGGCTCACATTCTCCTTTCCCTTCCTCCCCCACAACAAACACTCTGGGAGGTGAGTGGGGCTGAGAGATTTCAAAGAAGTGTGACTGGCCCAAGGTCACCCAGCAGCTGCAGGTGGAGGAGCGGCAACGCGAACCCAGTTCCCCAGATTACGAGACTACCGCTCTTGACCGCTACACCACACCATTAAGTTGTTATAGTAATTGCCACACTTTTAACATTGGGGGGAGGTGCCGGTACTGTATACCATTGAGTACCCCCCAGAAAAAAGCACTGTCCATTAGTCTTCAAAATATTGGTATGAGCTTTTGTGTACACACGAAAGCTCATAAATGAGAAACTTAGTTGGTCTCTAAGGTGCTACTGGAAGGAATGTTTTTATTTTCTTTTGACTACGGCAGACCAACACGGCTACCTACCTGTAACTAGAACATTAGTCTTCAATTAGGGATGTTAGAGTAATCCATTGAAAATGGACATTCAAGTGGATTTTCTTCCATCCACCTGTTGGACCCCCATCTGGCATGGGCTCTTCCTATGAACGCTCTTCATCTTAGTTTTCTACAATTTAAAATAAATAAATACACATACGATGCATAAATTGCTTTGCAATTCACATTATCTACATATTCATGAATGTATACAGTGGTACCTCGCAAGACGAATGCCTCGCAAGACAAAAAACTCGCTAGACGAAAGGGTTTTTTGTTTTTTGAGCTGCTTCACAAGACGATTTTCCCTATGGGCTTGCTTCGCAAGACGGAAACGTCTTGCAAGTTTGTTTCCTTTTTCTTAACACCGTTAATACAGTTGCGACTTGACTTCGAGGAGCAACTCATAGAACACGGTGTGGTAGCCTTTTTTTAGGTTTTTAAAGACTTTGGTCATTTTTGAAGCTTTTCCAAAACTTTCCCGACACCGTGCTTCGCAAGATGAAAAAAATCGCAAGACGACAAAACTCGCGGAACGAATTAATTTCGTCTTGCGAGGCACCACTGTAATTGCTGCTGTCTCAACAGGGGTCTCATTCATTTTCTTTATTTCTGAAATGCTGTTTGTCTGCATATATGTTGCTAGAAACAGCCTACCGCATGGGCAGGCAAACTAAGGCCTGGGGGCCGGATCCGGCCCAATCGCCTTCTCAATCCGGCCCGCGGACGGTCTGGGAATCAGTGTGTTTTTACATGAGTAGAATGTGTGCTTTTATTTAAAATGCATCTCTGGGTTATTTGTGGGGCATAGGAATTTGTTCATTATTTTTTCCCAAAATATAGTCCAGCCCCCCCACAAGGTCTGAGGGACAGTGGACCGGCCCCCTGCTGGAAAAGTTTGCTGACCCCTGGCCTACAGGCAGTAAGGCTAGAATCCTAACCATATCAACTTAGAAGTAAGTTCCCTTGAATTCAGTGGGTCTTACTCCCATGTAAATGGGGTTATCATTGCAGCCTTCATCCACTTCCTTCTGTCATCATCATTACCACCAATGGAATATAGCATTCTTCATTGTTCTTTCAACCTGGAAAGATGTGATCTCTTTGGTTGCCTACTGACTTCATCAGAGCTGCATAGTGAAACTCTTTTGCTGCCAAACATAAACCAACAGTTTAAAGCAGCCAAACATAAAATAATGTCTACTGCAAACATTTAAAACATAGGTTAACTGGAGCATTATGTTTCAGCAAATGCACACACAAATGACCATTTTCTGTATAAAATACACATTTATGGAATGATACGTTGCATTACAAAAATGACTTGTATAAGTGGCCTTAGAATGTCTGTAAAACATTTAATATGTCTATAGGAATCCATACAACCCAGAACTCAAAGAGCAAAATATCAGCAGGGTCCCAAATTGTCCTTCCCTGAGACCTGAGCAAGAGCAATAAGACAAGACGACAAGTTTATATCAAATTGTAAAATCAAGATAGCAAGGCTGCAGCCCTATCTGCAGGACAAGCTGGACTGAGTTCAAAGGGACTTATGTCTATGGTTAGGATTGCAGTAACAGATGGTTTGTTTTATGTGTGGTTTCCTGTGTGTTTTATTGTTTTAAAGAGGATGGAAAGTATAAAAAAAATACAAAAATTTACAAAAATGCAAACCAACAGGTAAGTCACACATTCAGAAGTAGCAAAAGTACAACCTCTTTTTAAACCCTACTCCGAGCAACCCATATATGAACACTCAGCAGCATAAAAAAGCTAAGAAAATATCAGTTTGCAATTTAAAAAACCCAATTTTACAGAAAAGACCAAGACTAAAGCAAGACAAAATAAGAAAAGGAAGCTGGCAACACTCATTTACAGGTAAGTGTAGCGAGGGAGATAGTTTCAGGCAAAGTGAAATACGGGCCAAATGAAGAGGAGCTATGAAAAGGATAAATGAAGCATTCCAACAGTTTGGGTTCGGGTTTTAAAAAATTTTAAATTTTTTTTTGGAAAAAATGTTGAGTAGCCCCTTGGAGACCAACAAAGTTTGTTCTGGGAATAAGCTTTCGTGAGCATGCACACTTCTTGAAATACCTGAAGGTTAGGGTTAGGGATAGAGTGAGAGTTAGAGGTTATGGTTGAGTTTAGGGTTGAGGTTAGAGTTGGGGGTGAGGGTTACGGTAAGGGAAGAGCTTAGGGTTAGGGTGAGACTTGGCATTGAGTTTAAGGATACAGTTGAGCTAAGGGTTGTAGTTAGGGTTAAGGTTAGGGTTAGGTCTTGGGGTAGAGTTTAGGTTAGGGTTAAGGTTGAGGTTAGGGTTTGGTTTTGGTCTGGGTCTGGGTTTGGATTTAGGTTTGGGTTTGGGTATGGGTTAGGGTTAGGGTTAGGGCTTAGGCTTAGGGTTAGGTTTGAGGTTAGGGTTAGGGGTAGAGGTAGGTTTCAGCTTGAGGTAAGGGTTAGGGTAAGGTTTGAGGTTAGGGTTGGGGTTGGGTTTAGGGTAAGTGTTACTGTTTGTGTTTGGGTTAGCGTTAGGATTTGGGTTAGGGTTAGGGTTGAGTTTTGGTGTTTGTGGTAGCGTTATGGTTAGGGTTATGGTTGTGTTGAGGATTAGGTTTAGGGTTAGGGTTAAGGGTAGGATTAGGGGTAGGATTGGTGTTAGTGTTGAGGTTAGAGTTAGGGGTAGGTTTGAGGATTAGGGTTAATGTTAGGGTTAGGGTTAATGATAGGGTTAGGGCTTAGGTTATGATTAGGGTTAGGGTTACGGTTAGGGTTAGGGTTTGGGTTAGCTTTTCCATTCAGTTAGGGTAAGGGTTAGGGTTAGGATTAAAGTTATTGTTAGGTTTAGGGTTAGGGTTAGGGTTAGGTTAAGGCTTAGGGCTGAGGTTTGGGTTAGGCTTAGGCTTAGGCTTAGGCTTAGGTTTAGGCTTAGGTTTAGGCTTAGGTTTAGGCTTAGGGCTGGGGTTTGGGTTAGGGTTAGGGTTAGGGTTGAGGTTAGGGTTAGGATTGAGGTTGAGGTTGAGGTTGAGGTTAGCGTTACGATTTCGGTTAGTGTTAGTGTAGAGATCACTGTAAACAGCTGAAATCATTGGCAGGAATACTACGACAATTGTAATGGAACATTTTGGATTTTGGATACGATGATTATATAACAGATAGATTACAGTAAAAGATGCAGGAATAAAATTTAGAATGGAACCCATGGAAGGGAGGAAGGAGGTCACAAGGTTCAGAAAGAACCCTGATCTTTTTTTAATGTGTGAAAATGATATGTTTATGGTGTATAACTTTCATGTAAAATCAATAAAAACACACTTAACTTTATATAAAAACACACTTAACTTTTACCCTGCACTTTCTAGGCAAAGAACCACACTTTAAAGTGCCATATCCAATTTTCTTTTTCTTTTGCCTTGGTGCTCCCCTCCTCCCAAAAACCCTGCTCTTTAACACTGAATCAGAGCAAACAGCAATTCAGGCTTTCCAAAGATTGCTGTTTGCTCTGGTTCAGCTGTAAAGAGCTGGGTTCTGCAGGGGAAACACAGTGCTTTAAAGTGTGGACCTGGGCCTAGAAACTTGGCACAAGAGGAAGTGTGGAGGAGCCGTCAGGCGGACCCTCACCCTGGGGCCAGAGCTGTGTTTTGCCCACAGCAGGGTCATCAATTGCCTCTTTTGCTTTCTCCTGCCAGCGTTTGCAGCTAAATCAAACATCAATTTGCAGAAAGCCCAACTGGTGTTTGTTCCATGGGTTTTCCTGGGGATTTGTGGCAAGAAGAAAAAAAAGCTTCTCACTTTTTTATTGAGTTTTTGGGGGAAAATTGTACATATAAAACAAAACGATTTCCAACATTAAAATACAAAGTTCTTTCAAACCCTTAGACCTTCCTTCCTTCCTTCCATGGGTTCCATCTTTAAGATTAAATTTACTGCATCTTTTACCTTATCTATCTATTATATAACCATAATTACCATTAAAAAATTCCACATTACAAGTTTCTTTACATCCCTGCCAAAGATTTTAACTGTTTACAGTGGTCTTTTAAATTAATTACAAATTTACTCCAGTCATTTTAGAACTTGTTTTGTACATTTTAGCATTTTTACTCGCTGTTAGATACCAACAATACATCATTTCCATATAATTTTCTTTCAAGGATCATTTCCATATAATTTTCTTTCAAGTGGTTTTTGCCTACTGTGTAGCAGTAAATTTTATTTCCTCTTTCCATAACTTTTCCCAAGGTGAAAGTTGGATATTATATCCAAAGTCTCTAGCCCAATGTATCATCCCTGCCTTAACTTCTTCATCTTTTCTATGCCATTCTAAAAGTAATTTATACATTTTTGATAGAGCGTGTTCTCCTTCATAGAGAGCACGTGTTGTGGGGTGGGATCGTATAGATGGCCACGGCAGTGATTGGGCTGTTTTGGGTTGCTGGGGAAATTTTGATGTTGCCAATTTGTGGGATGGACTAAGGTTTTATACACTGAGCACGCAGCATTGAGCGTTCTCTTTCACTGCGTGCACCGGATCACCTACCCACCTTCCCTAATTTAGGGCTATTGCGTTGACCTTGCTATGCCTGTCATGGGGTCTCCTGCTTTGGGGGCAGGGGCCTGGTAGGAATTTTGTCCACTTGGCTGATTGGCTGGTGCCATTTGGTTTTTGCCTACTGCATAGCAAATCGTCACAACTTGTAAGGTTGCGGTTAGACATTGGTTAAAAAATTGGTTGGTGGAGGGGTAAGGATTGGCTGTGCCTGCCCCTCCAATGCTGCTGCTGCAAGGGAATTCTGTTAAAGGAATCCAGGGGCTTGCCATGCTTTCGTCGGAATCCCTGGCATGGGGTTTGGGCCGTGCAAGCCCCAGGGAGCATGCGGAGAGAGGTGAGGGTCTGGTGACCAGCTCCATTTTCTCCCCAAAATGTTTTCCCTTACTGGCTTTTGCAGGGTTGCAGAAGTCAGTTCTGTCCCTGGGCAGTGACAGATAGTCGTAACCAATGCCTAAGCAACCACTCGCATTTATGTATTTTAATAAAGTTGTGGTCAAAATTATGCCAAAAACCTTAAACAAAAATTCTGTGTGAATTGTGATTTATTTTGGGGGGTGGCTTGGGGGACCTCGACATGCGA